CCCCCAAATGATTAAAAATAATTGCACTGATACTGGTGAGAATTTTCATCGAGCAGATCCTTTGACGATTACGAATTAAAAAGTTATGAATTACGTGTCTATTAATTGACAATATTTCGGATTAATTGGGAATTCCTATCAGTTTGCGAATTTACATCGTATAGCTATTGTATGTATACTCGCCTGATGGATATACATATTTAATTGCTATAAGAATTATTAATTAACTTTATTTACAATTAGCACCGATACCCAGCGAGTTTATAACCTAATCTCTTAATAATTGAAAGTTAAGCATTTAGTATATTTTTAATACGATCCAACGATTGTGGCTTCTCATTATTGCGCAGAGTATTAATTAATTAATTATAAAGGAGCCGAGCGACCAAGCGATATCGAGAGGATGATTTAATACTAGGAATCTTAACACTTGAATAATATTTATACATATATATATATAATGTGCTTATATATATATATATCGTATTATATTTATTGTTACATAAAAGAGGATCACAATAAAATATAATTAAATATAACAAATCGATGTTCAACGCAATATCTTAATCAACTGATTTTTTATCTGCTGTTGATTCTTGAACTTATGTTACCTAACCTATACGTCAATGGTAACTGTATTCCCTTTTGTGCTGTGTACAAGTCTTAACGTAGCGAGCAAATGAATTAAATTTTTATCATATATGGGATATTATACTTATAAAAGAATATCTACGCTTTGTCCAACGAACATAACGTACCTGATCACATGATGTGCGTTCAATTTAAAACTTGGGAGAAAATAATCGTGCAATCAGTTTGCATAAAGTGTTTTGTCTCGTTTAACGATTCTAGGGAGATTATAAATTTCTAGCGTTAATGTATGGGAGTTTATACGTGAAAAAGAATGTTAGTACAATTCTAAAAGTGTAAACACCCTAATGCTTAATACTGCTTTGCATTAAGATCGTATCGTCGTTTCGTTTACATTTGGCCTCCACGGTATCAGTCATAATTGCCGATTGACCTTTCCATGAGTCTGATTTATAATTTCTTTTAAATTCTATAAACAGCTCAGTCTCTCCTAGAGTCGCCAGTTTCTTATACGATCAAACGTCCCAGAACACTTTTTCGGACTTCAGATACCCTGAGGTTCCGTAGGTCATTTTTGGTAAATGCTAATAGTTATCAAAAAGGATAACTCTTCGCGAACTATTATCATTATGAAATCGACTAAACGTCTATTATACTGTTACGCTTCTTATCGATGTCCGTGGAATCCAAATCATTTCCAAGACTGCCGACACGACCTCGCATACCTAAACCTCCGCCGGCGTGTCCCGTGGCTTTCAATTTTTCCTGCATCTGTGCCAGAATATCCTGCATCCTTCGAATCTGCGATAAAAGGACAAATTTTATAAGCGCGCAATTCATAATTACTTGCACACAGTGTATGACGTGAAATCAAAGATTCATATTACCTCTTCGTCTTTTTGCAAAAGAAGTCTGTCCGTGTCAGAGATGCTATTCTCAAAATGTGGTCCGGAGTCTCTCTTCAGTTTACTAAAAATTAAAAAAAAAAATATCAAAAAATTCAGTCCGGAGCGGCTCGTTTGTCAGAGCAGCAAATTATCCGCTACAATATTTTTTTGTGTCAAATCTAACCTAAATTCGAGCCGTGATACTGGACTACTGATATGCGACAGAATTACAGGATCAGGAGGAAAAGTGAAATTACGAGTTGATTTCACTAATTTTAAAAAAGTACTTTATGATTATTGACAATAATAATCGTTATTTTTTGTTTTAATTACGTCAACGTGCTCGCGCAATTATTTGAGGGAAAAACTATGCGCGGTGCATTACTTAAGGTATAGTAATCAGAAGTAATAATTATTTACATGCGTAGATACCTCCGTTCCCGTATCGCCTGTTGTGAAATTTGCGAAATGCATTGTGCACGGAAATTCTCATAATGCACGTCCTGCGTAACGTCCTTCATATCCTGCATATGAGTCGATATCAACATCGTCCTCAACTTCACAAAATCACTGTGCTTTGGATTTTCCACTATAAAGAGCAAAATGGTGATTGACTATTTTATGTTTTTTTTTAAATCCATCCCTCTCCATTACCTTCGACAACCCCCCAAGGATATTGTCGACCTCGAACTTTCCGACCCGCCACTTCCAGAACTGTAGAACTGCCAATCACGGCGAAAGGTATACAGGCCTTTAATTCTTTATCCTGCTGCTTGAATTCCTCGTCCTCGTCGCTGTCACAGTCAGGAAATTGATAGATCTGAAAAATTGAAAGAATGCCGCGTAATGATAACCTCAGAAACTTAAACGTAATTTTTACACGTCTATGTATCACCTGTATTTCGTGTTCTTCGATATCAGCCAGGATTCGTTCTTTGAGTTTCTTCACTTCCTGCGTAGTGAGAGTATCCGCTTTTGCTATCACTGGTACCACGTTTACTTTACGATGCAGTCTTCTCAATACCTCAAGGTCCAGCTGACGTAACCTACAGAATCATTACCATTCTTATGGATTGTTCCTAATCCGAACGCCATTCATATTTGTTCACTCCTTCTCTACGTATAATTTCATTGGAACATATATAGCTATATATTGAGTACCCGTGTCCGTATGGCGGTATGAAGTATAAGCAGCAATGAACACGATTATCTTGAATATTTTTACGATTCAATCCACTCTCGTCCGTGAAGTATTGTCTAAATTGATCGTCGATATAAGCCGAGCAGGCTTTCCACGTATCCTCGCAGTTCACGGCATCTCCGAAACCTCAATAAGAAAAATTTTGATAGAAGATAAGTTAAAAGTTTGCCAACCTAATTTTTTTTAATAAATCCCGTTTTACCTGGGGTATCGACAATTGTCAATCGAAGACGTACTCCGCGTTCTTCGATGTCCATCGTCTTCTTTTCGACAGTTGTAGTTTTTTCTACGCGTTCTACAAGAATTTACATATTTATGTAATGCTTTATATTGCTTTAGATGTGCATATATGATATTTCTGATACTCAAGTACCAAGAGCATCGGGTATTCGTCGTTCCTTGTAAAGGTCCCCAAGAAAAAGACTGTTTATCAAAGTTGATTTCCCAAGACCCATTTCGCCAACAACCATCAGGGTGAATTCGAATCCTCTCTTCACAGATTTCCGGTGCACTTGCTCCGGAAGTGTCGCGAACCCAATATAGTCCCTGTCTTGCTAAACAAAGTTCGACATTTTTAATTATATCGGTCGAACAAAAATCATTAAATCACTGCAGAACATTCTGCATAAATTGCACCAAGTAAAATCACCGCAGATTACGTAATACAAGTAAAAAGAAACACAGTGCAAATATACTATCTTGTACATTATACATATATATATTTATTTATTTGTTTATTTCAATTCTAGTTCTAATCTATCGTTCTATGTATATCTATCAACAAGTGTTATCAGAATGTTGCAAAAATGTTCACGAACACAAACTGTCAATACATACTGTCCAGTTAAGTTCATATACTGTATATGCATTTAATACGTATTATTTATACGGGCTTACAGAATGAGGAAATTCTCAAGGGATTAAATGTAGCATTACAAGATACAGTGGACCGTAATAGGGGTTGATATACGGGTAAGAAAGAAGTGCACTTACCGCTGGACATGTTAACGGCAATAACAACACTAGCCGGTGCTTTGGTTGCCGTCGGGGTTGAGCTGGGGTTGCAAGCGAAAGCCACCCTCTTCTCATTCTGCGCTGGCGCACCCTCGCGTTCGCGATCAATAACGGCGCGTCTCCATAAGGGGTGCGAGGGAAGCTCGTACCCTGACATTATCCTACGAGACTGGATGCACTGACAGGAAATGTCACGGACAATATTTTTCATCGAATTTTTCGCACGAACGTTATCAAATGTTTTTGGACAATTATTTCTTATTAACTTAATTATTACTATTGTCGAGACATATTTATTTTACTTTGTTAGGCAAATATTTTTCACTTACATGCTGAACGTTCTCACGTTGACTTTGAGATTTGTTCCATTTCGCCATTTTATTGAGTCTTTATCAGTGGGACGATTCATCATAGACGAGATAAGGCGTCAAATGAATTCCAAAGATATTGATGTGGGCAATTTTAATGGCAGATCGATATATTACATTGCAATTTGATTTATTTAACATTTACACTAGGCTCGATACACTTTGTAATAAAACCCAGGTACGCAGCGATGTTTGTTCGTAAATATTTATAATTAGGTATGTGGCACATGACAACAATTTAGCGTGCGAAACTACTCGGCAACAATAGAATGCGTGGCAACTACGAAGTAAAGAATACTCGGTATTGTTGCTGGAACAACAATCAATTAAAATCTTTCTCGAGTATTTTGTTTTAATATTCGGTTGGTCGTTTTCTATATGACACGTTAGATACGGCTTTGTATGTGAACTATTTTCACTATATTTCCACTCTTAATAATAATTTAGATTTTTCTTAGAACTCATTCGTATATTGCCTGCATGGGGTTCCTTGATCTTTGGAAACTAAATCAATTTCTTATCTTCATTTTAGAAAAAGGTATTACCTCTGTCAATGGACTCAATTGGTTAACTGACAATTTAACGTAAAGAGTGTACTATTGATTGACATAATTTCCAAGCAAACACTGTGGGATAATTGTGATGTTACTTTGCATATGTCAAACACATCATCCTATTGTACAGTACTGAGCAATACACATGAAATATTACGAAGTTTTCGTGTATTAAGATTTGTGAAATTGAGTATCATCAAATTATCCTTTAGTATTTGCGTGATAACTCTTTTACTATTTAATTGTATTCAATTTCACCGTAATATTACGTAGTTCGATTATACTTTCAGTTAATAGGAAAAAACCTCAAATAATTATATTGATACTAGTTATTATATTCATGCAGTGCTTTGATCATTATTAAAATAATTAATTATATTTATTTTTATGTAAAAACTGAATATGGTGGAATAGCACAAATCGCGTGTAACTATTAAATTATATACACGTTCGTCGTAAAGCACTATTGAAAACATACATATTAGAAACCAACAACTATTTTTTTTAATAAATACTTTACACGATCAACAATACGAGACTGGCCCATTGATTGGGTATTCGCAACGAAAAAATGCGAATATGTTACTAAAAAAAAAATTAAAGAACGTAAGGTAAGAAAAAGAAATAAAAACAACAAATATCGTAGGAATATTCCAAAACTGTCGTCTGCAAAACGGTTCACGAGGATTGCGTAAAGTCATCGGGCACGAAATTATTTACATTATCGCCGAGGAGCCAAAACCAACCATACTTTGAACTATTATTTTCAAATACGGGACATACACGATGCACCGTCGACAGTAGCGTTCGAAAATAGTCCTGGCTGGAATTAAAAGGATCCAAAGTCGTCGGCTGGAACAAGTGAGGCAGTTAACTATTGGCTACGACCAAGAGAACCAAGATCGCGCAGAAGTCGGGGTCTTCGGACTTGGTGAAGATGGAGTTGACTCGTTTGGAGTTACAGGAGTCCTAGATCTTGCCGGACCAGTTTCATCCAAAGTCTTTGGTTGGACCTTCTGGTTTGTTTCTTCTTGCATCTTTAACTCATACCGTCTTACGTCTTCAAGGGTCATTTCGCACCATTCGTCGATCCAGGCGAAGGCTTGTCGGTGTCCCAGCAAGAGAACATCTCGGATACACTGAACAAAATTAAATATATGTGTTAAATGGAAAATATAGGATTGTTATTCATTCTGCAACGGATCTTACCCGATGAATAAAGTCTTCCACTCGAGTCTGCATGCCCCAAACTTCAAAAGATGCGTTTACTAGTTTGTAGGAGCACATTATGGGTTGAGTTACTTCACGCCAGCCTTCTACCAGGGGACCACGACCAGTTTTCTTTGATTGAAAGAATTTTGGATCCTACAGCATATTAAAATGATACAGAATTTCTAAATGATTTCTTTTTCTTACAGGGAATAAACAATGCTTATTTTTTGCTGCAACAGTGTACCTCTTCTTCCTTGTAGTGCTTTGCAGATAATTCATCATAGGCAATGTCTACAAAATCTACCTCTCGTTGTGCTAGTTCTACTGGAGAGAGACCTAAACACTATTGAACAAACATTCAGCGTTACAATTGGAAACATTACGTCATTTTATTTGTTTGGTATTTTTTAACACTTACATTCTCTGTACATCCATTATTGTCTTCATAACGGGTTTTGATGGAGATGTTAAATTTTGGTATGAAGGAACACTGGAAAATCAGAATAAAACTTAATATACTTTTTTAAAGTGTAAAATAATATTTAATACTCACTGTATATTCTGCACAATGTCAGGATATATGCAACAAAATAATAATTTATAATTTACATATTACATTATGTTAATATAAACTTCACTTGTTGAATTGGATATCAAAGCACTTATAAAATTCTATCAGCATCTCTCTGTATAAAATAGTGTTAAATATTTGAAATTTACCTGTAATTGTAAAAGGGTAGTAATTCCAGGCTTTTTCAGTCACATAAAATATCCTTGGTATAACTGACTGTATCCAGTATGGTAATTTACTATAAATTGATAATACTATTAGTAAGTTTAAATATTTACATTTTATTGGTAAACACTGCATGCGCAAAGGCCAGGATTAGAATAAAACTATTATTAACAATGATCTATTAAGAAAGATTTCAACTAATAATTCTTTCAAAATTACCTGGAAAGATGGATCCTCTTCTCAGTAAACTGACCCTTGCCATGCACTGGATCTTCGCAGGCAGAATTTTCAACAACTTCAACACCTTCGTCAGAATCTGACTGTTCATGACTATGTCGTGCAATCATATATAATTGACCTATACGGTACTGTAAAAAAATTAAAAAAAAAATAATATAGCATTAAAAAGGAATGTGAAAAATAAATTTATAACAAAAACGAATTTCACAGAATATTGAATCGTCCCGAAAATCATGCTGTGCTTCAGAGCATGCAATAAAACATGTTCCACTGCTGAATTTTATTTCATTGTTGCACTATTATCACAGATTGTTCATAATTAATTACCTCCTCGGTAGTAAGCGGCATACATATTCGATATTCTTTCGTTAAAACCATTGTGATTTCTTTATTCTCTCGACGATAACTGACGATAACTCAAGGAAACTATCTTTTAACTTGGAATAGAAAGATCCCGTTATCTTCGTGCGAAAATAAATCGTTGAATGAAAAGAATAGACGTAAGGTCCAAATTTCTCAAATTCCTATGCCGACAGACGACAAACAAGAACAATTTCTTGAAGTTGTCTCTTTAGCGTTGTTCAATGGATCGACCAAGTAAATAATTCCCTATACGAATCCCTATCAGATGTTATGTCATATACAGAATCCCAACCTGAAATTCATCCAATAAAATAAGATTTATTGGTAATCAAAATATTGTAAAAGTTTCACTTAAATCTTTCCTTTGGGATGGGCAAGAATATTATATTTTTACCTAATTCCAATAATCAGAAGTAAGATTTATATACAATTTTATTCGAATTAATGGTTTAATGTAATTTTGCCGCGAGATGTCGATAAGAGTATCGTTATTGGTCAACATAGAACATTTAGTAATATATCTCGCTGCTTCGTTCAGATCTTACGTGTACTAAATTGGAGTAAGAAACTTTTTGTGATGTGGACGATAATTGTATGCAGATAACGCACGATGACGAGCGAAGACATGTAACAGCAAGCGAAGAAGAAAGAAGGCGGAAGGGAAGAAGAAAGCCTGTTTGGTCGTGATAGGAGCTTTTTTTGTGTTGGCTGAAAGAAAAATGCCTTATCAAACTTTTAGGCAGGAATACCTGCAGATGCCAGTTGTGACGAGAGCGTACATGACTGCCTGTGTCATCACAACCCTTGCTGTGGTTCGTATTTACAACAATGAAAAATTTTCCAAAAATCCTAACTAACTTAATATTTATTTCTATTACTAAAATATGTGAGAGTATCGTGTCGTTCAGAGTTAGTTATACCTCCTGTTTTCTATGAATAATCAAGGTTATGTTTTTGCTTATTATTTCAGCAACTGGACCTTGTATCTCCGTTTCAACTTTACTTTAATCCAATTTTAATAATCAAGCAGTGCCAGGTATGCTACCTTGTACATTTATAATTTGGTCTCTTGCACTTATCATTTGTTGAATCATTTCCTGTCTCTTTCAGCTATGGAGACTGATTACCACTTTCCTCTTCTTTGGAACTATTGGTTTCAACTTTTTCTTCAACATGATCTTTACGTACAGATACTGCAGGATGCTGGAAGAGGGCTCATTCCGTGGGAGAACTGCTGACTTTGTCATGATGTTCATTTTTGGTGGGATTTGCATGATTGTATCCTTTTTGTAAAGAAGACTATGTTAACTTGTAAATTCATTAGGGATGCATATTTTTCTTAATAAGTCACAGATATTTGCATTTTTTGTTAATTTACTGTTTCTTGGACACGCATTCACGATTATGTTGGTCTATGTCTGGTCAAGGAGAAATCCATTTGTCAGGATGAACTTTTTTGGGCTTCTTAACTTCCAAGTAAATATTTTAAAATATCTGTCTTTTCAACCTAAGTAAATAGTTTTTTCTCAAGAAATTATGCTACAAATATTTTTTAAGGCTCCATACTTACCATGGGTACTTCTTGGATTCTCTGTTCTTCTTGGCAATGCTATTTGGGTGGATATGATTGGTATGGCTGTGGGACACATGTATTACTTTGCCGAGGATGTTTTTCCCCAGCTCAGAGGTGGTTTCCGTATTCTGAAAACTCCACAAATACTGTAAGTACCTTTGTAGTATGATTAATACGGTGTACATGAAATCATCCAGATATCTTTTAGAAAATTAGTAACATAATATTTATATAGTTGTGAAGCTTTCGCGGCTAAATTTATTATTGAAGTTCATAGCTGGCGGATGGATGCCGCGTCTAGTTTCAACGTATTGCCGACGGTTCACAAACGTTATCGGAACGTTTGAGAAACGTCGGCAATACGCGGAACATAGACGCCTAATTAGTGTAAATATTATTGTCACAAGTTATGCATTAATGGGTATCACCAAAGTTCGGTACCTACTTATAAGGAGCAGATGCAATTATCAGAATATACATATACAATTACATAGTCTTATACCCGGTTTCTTCACCTCCGGATAAGTTCCCAATAATTTTATCCGGAAGATATCACTTAGTATTGAGGATAGTTATTCGTTAAATAGAAATTATCCGTAGTTTGCCATTATTCAGACATTCGAAAAGAGTCGCATTAAAGTCTGCACGAATATTTCTAATTTATTCCTTATCACATTTTATATATTTTTCTACTTCGGTAAGATATCGTGCATTTAATGATTACAAATGTGCAGGAAGACTCTGTTTGACGCACATGCCGAAGATCCAGACTACACGCCGTTGCCCGAAGACAGGCCCGGTGGCTTCAACTGGGGTCAAGTTGGCAACGTGCAGTGATATAATTTTATCACGTCGCTGTGTCGCTACTAATTCATTATAAGAAAACGGCCCAAAGTTTACAAGAAAAAATTCACGGCCACGTTTTTCGTTTTCCAATTAAATCGCAGCAGCATACAGGAAGTTCCGCTACGGACGTCGTAGATAGAAAATTCTTTGTTTTCCGCTTTGGCAAAAGGTACGCAGGATTTTCAATTTTCATCTGATAAATAAGGCTTATGCCATGTCCAATCAACAGTTAATTTTGAAAGCGTGAAATATTCTCTTGTAAGATAACCATCCCGTAAGGGACGAACCTGGCAATTTCTTAGATGTCGCATTGAGAAATAGAAAACTGTATACGACGAGAGCCTTTTAATACTTTAGAGTATTTCGCAACAAAGGTCGTCTAAATAATTGTGTAGCACCTGCGTACCGAAATAATTTGCTCTTACTTTTAAGTCTCACCAAATTCCGATGCCTTTTTGAAAAGGACCCTCGGGTACGTTTTGACGTGTACAGTAATTTATACAATATTGAATTTGTTACTTTTTTTGTGAATAGAACATGTATTTTATTTGTAATATATGGGATTATATGTCCCCTAGATAAGTACGGGAATACGCGGTAATACAAACAATTGATATGCCACGGGAAGTATAGTAAAACTCATAGGACGAATATGTAAAGTAGAAGTAAGGGGAGCCTGTGGTTATTTATCCACAACAGTGTGACTACGCTAGTCTTACTTCTTGTTGGAATATCCGCCAAAGTAATCCTATTCCTCTATGGGTTTTTTAACCGACGTGTTATTTGTACCGATAGAAAGTATTTACTTATTCGTATATTCAAAGACCCGATAAGTGAAAGATAAAAAAAGGAAACGATGTAGCCCATTTTGACTGGAAGGCAATGATCAAGCCCTGAATGTGAAAAAAAGGAACAAAACATATTTATTGACCTGTACCGAACTGTTGATAATTATTTCGTGACTCTGATAAATACAAGGGTTTCGACATAATCGAATTGAATTTACATTTTCCAAATGTATTTTTAAGATGGTCGCGAAGCGAGATTGATGCCAGTTTTTAAATATGTATATCTAAATCTCACACTAAAAATATATATTTGAATAAGCACAAGAATATGTTCTTAAGTGAGACAAAGGTAAGGGATTAGATGAAGGGTTGGATAAAGTGTCAAATAAAACTGCAATCAGTGCTGATAATCTCGTTAGAAAAAAAAAATCAAGCAGCAAATAACATTTACTACACTCAAAAAATGCCAAATGTCTTAAATAGTTTTTACCATAAAGACCTGTTTCCGATTTTGTCAAAACGACAAGAAATAAATATCTATTGAGTCAGGTGTTTATATCTTGTTATCACTAAAAATAAATTATTTAGGGGCTAATGAATAACAAATAGTTAAGTGAAAGTCGGTTGACATTACGAGGCTGTACAAATTTTCGATAACTTGTTAAATAACGATAAATATCATTACACAAACTAGTCCTTGTTCTATTTTAATTGGAGCAATGAGAATGATGAGCGAACGAGTGAGATCGAGAGCGATGATTTAAAAAATCATTTATTCTGATTTAAATAATAGTCGTTTATCGTATTGGGATACAATGATGGGTAACTAGTTACATATATGCAATGACATGGACTATAATACAATGATCAGGGCTCTATTATACACTTTGTTTCTTTCTTTCATTCGAAACCTTCATTAATAGCTTCAACTTTTTTTCTTTTTTTTTTTTAATTACTAAATCATTTATATCGCCACTGTCGCTAAAAGCACCGTGATGTCGTCCGGCTTACCTCCTAGAACGAAACAGCAATTAGTAATTTTCTTTTTTCATACTTAACGTCCATCAAGAATGTATCAAGTGAGCGATTTCTTCCATCATCCTGTAGAAGAGTAAATCAATATTTTATACAAACCTAAAGCGTCTATCCCGTTTTCTCTGGCGCTCTGTGCGAAAGGAGACATGAAAGCTCCGTCAAAGGCGAGACTCCTTGCCATCCAGGCTATCGAATTTGCGACGCCCTGTATCTTGGTGGGATCTCTCTCACCCTCGATCTTTCTCATTTCCGTGACTAGGAGTTGGTCAGGAACGTTGTCAAAAACGCCATCGGTCGCCAGCAGGATAACGTCGCCATCCTCAACGCCAAAGCTTGACGTGTCCGCTGACTCTGGACTATGGAAGTACATTTTTCATTAACGAACGATAATCTTGAATACGCTTGATATCAATTAGTGAATGAATATATCACCTATCACTAAGTACCAGGCCGGAATGACCTGGTGGTGGTAGAGATAATTGAAACGGAGTGTTAAAGTAGTGCTGTTGCTCCGAGGATCTGTGCACCACTTCGCCTTTGCGAACCACTACGAAACCGCTGTCACCTATGTTAGCTGCGTAAATGCTACTCGTTTCTTTATTCAGTACAATTACACAAGCTGTGCTGCTACCTGAAATACGCAAAAATCATCCCGAGTTGTAGAAAGACGTGTTTAGTTCTATGTTGGTAAGTGCACTGACATATTTTGCTTAGATTTATCATTTTACTAAGAGATAATCACTATACCTAATATTGGTTGTTTATTTTCTAGTAATTCGTAGTAACTACGTGCCAGTAGACCAGCCGGTTCTGAAGGTTTGAATCGACCCATGGATACCAGCCGTTCGCAGGTTCGCATCAGGAAGTTGGAAAATTCACCAGGGTCGATTCCATAATGGCGCCAACCTCCCACACCGTCCGCTACGCCTGAACAGATAAAATATAGATGTAATATGAGAATTCAGTTAATTGTCGAATCTATTAAGATATTTATGTGCGATTGCAAATATGAATTTTGTAACGCATGCTCTTTGCATAAAATTGAAATGAAATCATGCACAACAGAAGATTATTATTTACGCAATGACTAGATTGGTAAAAAAAAAATAACCAGTAATATTATACAAAGTAGTTGTGCCTCGACTGCGAAAATTGGTAACCAAGAAAGGTGGAATTTTTTCAACGGGAAATAATGACTTCGAAATAGGTTTCGAAATTGGACTGCAGTGCACATTATTTCAAGTACGTCGAAATATTGTGTTGAAACGCAATTTTTGTCGTGGCGCTAATAATAGCAGGTCCCAAGATTCTGAGTCTATTTGGCAAGCAGCCTCTATTCACACAATTTCTGATCATGTGCCATTATGTCACATGCCCTGAAAGAGTTGTTGCTATTTTTTTTACTTTTATTTGGGCGCGAGTTCATTCATAAACCGTGCGACTGACCTTGCATTGTCCATCTTCCATTTTCAATTGTATTATAAATTGAAAACATTCAAATTCTGCAATCACTTTCATTAAAATATTTCAGGTCTCACAGCAATAATCTATTGTTTAAATAACGAAACATATTAAACTATTAAAATGATTCAATAATAAACTATTGAAATGAGACAAAAATAAAGAAAAAAATTTCTTGGATTCCCCATTGTAAAATCTATTGCCCAATTAACATGGATTTCCATTATCAACACTGTCTCTTTCATTTGTATATCTAAGATTATAGTGATATGGTATAAACCAGTGGTATAGTGGTTTCTTTTCTAGTATAAAATACTTCAATACTGACACACTAGAGGAATGTTAATCTAATACCAAGGTTTTACTAATTATTCTTATTTATTATCGATAAGCCAAAGTTTATCGGTGCACTCTCCTATTTGGAACATGTATGCATTGGACTTAGTAACTGAAAACATCAGATTCAAAACAAATTCAATAAATAGTTTTAAATAGAATATTTTTTTATTGAACAGTGGAATATAATTTTAAATTAACAAATGACAATCTGTATGCTTACGAATTAACCCTTGGACTGACCCTTTCGTGGCTACTATGATAACAGCGCCGCATAGTGTGCGACAGCGGCAGTGAAAGCGTTAACATGCAATACTTAAATGAAGTTTAACAAAATTTCAGGATATTGCATAACGATAATGTACCAATTGTTTTACAAACGTTTTGGCAACTTTCTAATTCGTTAAACATATATTTGTTTACTTCCTATTTGTATGCATAGTAGCTCCAACGAGTACTCAACATTATTTTGGCGTAGGTTTCAAAATAACGATGTACATGTGAATGGTTTCAATAAGATTACAAGTCACTTGACATCAGAGGAGATAGTAGTTAAACAATCCTTTTGGGAAGAGGCAGATTACGAGCTTCCGTTATTACGAGTTCGAACTGGTTTGTCAATGTTCAGTTAACGAGGCTAATATAAAAGGCTAAACAATATAGAGCTAATGCTCTAATCGCTAAAAATACATAGCTAAGTAGCAAAAATGCAGACTGACAAGATGCATTTAGAATATAAAGTTTTAATAGTAAATAATTATATACATCGAACTAGAAAGCTGCCTGTTAATCGTTACGGGTGATTTAAATAAATTAATCAACTCCATGCGATTCTACGATTTTATGAATGAACGTTAAGAATTAGATAAAGTAAAAATTTGAACAGTTTCAGGAGTCACTGAAAATTCAACGAATCGATCGAAAGGCGCCATTCGACCAACTTCAGGCAGTCACATGCTTCTATCTACGAATTACCTACTCTGCTGAATATTTCTATACGAACAGCCGTAGAAAGTTTTAAAGGACATGTTATAGCGAACGATACTGCACAAAGACTTCAATAAGAATTTATTAAAAGCATTCCTAGCGACAGACAACGGGCTTAAAAAGAATAATTTCGAAAGCATACCAATTACTTCGACAGCCTTGAATTTGGCACTGAACCAGGCGTCGTCGCCGAATTGTCCTTTGCGAATTCGTCCTCGTGCAAAATCCTTTGGGAAACCGCATACAGCTGACACAAATGAAGCCTCACGTCGCTTGCTGATACTCGGCTCGGCACAGGCTGAGTAATTCGAAAGTCCATTCCAGATCGCTCGAGACAGCAGCCTCCCAGTCCAATAAATGGACTGCATCGTACGCTCGGACTCTCAGCAGTGACTGTCGTCTGATCGCATCTCTTTTATCCGCGACGACGACACGCTTTGTTATCCTTTCTGAATCTTCGTTTATCTCTTAGTGAGTCCTTAGAGCACGTTAGATGCAAGCAACATGGTCAAACTTCTCGAGAAATACTCAAACACTTTCGGCTACTTCCTCGCGAAGCCCTTGCTGAGACGATTCTCTCCGGGCACAATCCTCCTGATCCCCTCTTGCTGCAGCGCTGCTTTCGGACGAGTTTCCATTCACGAATTGTGTAAACGCAGAAGGTAAACTAGCAGGAGTGATTCGGTATCACGAGGAAGCAAATCTGTTTGCAGAAAATTTCGAAAGATGGCACTTGGTTAGAGAACGAAGGACGTTCCGGACATCAATGAGATTTTTAACGATTCTTGAGAATTTTAATGAATGTTGGTGTTGTGGAATCGTGCAATGGTAAATTTATATGCTTTAAGTATTTTTGAGTAATTTTAATATTTTTAATTTTTGATATTTAACGTATTTGGTGATACAATTTTGATTTTGTGTTTCAAGAGTTTATGCATTGAAGTCAGGCGCGAGAAAAGATTTTTCAGTTGTATTTTGTTCACAGTGAAGTTGTCAGAGAGTCGACGAAGAAATCCGGAATGGAAGCCAGTCGCAAACAGCTTATTTATCTTCACAATAATCAATCGCCGCAAACATTTGCGACATCCCGAAAATACTTCTGGGGCTACAAGTAAGTACAGCCGTTGTTGATGCTTCATTGTCATTCAGATTGGATCTTACTCTTTTGTCGTTGGTTCACTCGAATTTTCATTCATTTATCAAGTTACTTTCCGTCGCACCAAAGTTAACCTAAGGATTTTCCTTAACCTCGAGATTTTCCAAAAACTTACAGACTACATTTTAGACCGGACGAATTTTGTAACTGCGCACAACTGAAGTAATGCTTTGCTTGGATTAATAAATATTCGAATTTATTTTGGTAAACTCTTTATACTCTTTAGTGTAAAATTATTAAAGGTAGTTTACAATATTGATTATGAATTTCTATAACATTATATTATTCAGAAAACCTTAGTGTTATAAAATTCCCTTTGTCAGCACTAAAAATGTTTGTATTATATAAATGTTATAGTACTTAATTTTTTATATGGATGCTTTAATGATAAAATTAATTATTAATTACAATCATTATAATATTATAGTTACAGATGATCAATGTTGGAGGGATGGTATTGCCGGTCCATCGCAAACAACAACGCAGATGCAGAGGATGATGATGAAGAAAGTCCAGAAGAAGAAGCACCAAATTATAAAGACCAGTATCGTAATCTCAAGCGTAAACTAAAATTTCTCATTTATGTAAGTAAATGCACTTACAATATTATCTATAAATTAAACTTCTTTTTGAATCCCATCATTATACCATTAATCTTTTCTTGTAGGAAAATGAGTGCTTCCAAGAAGCCTTACGTTCAACACAAAGAAAGTTATTAAAAGTAAATCGAGATAAGAGTTTTTTATTAGATCGATTGCTTCAGTATGAAAAGGTTGATGCTTCGTTCAGTGAGAGTGATGAAACCGAATCCTCTGATGATGAAGTGTCACGAATGGATACATCAAAAAGGTATTAAAAAATGTTCATTCAGGTGGAGCCAGCATCACGAATTTCATCCTTCACTGTGTTTCACACTGCGATATTTGTCCTCAGAAAAAAAGTAGAAATGAACGTAAATAATCATTCGTCACATCATTCGTCAGCAACAGTCAAACCGCTGAGTACAAGTAAAAAGAAAAAACCCGTGCCGAAAGCACCAAAGACGCACAATACACCATCGGTTCAATCGGCCAACAACATTATGCCGATGTCATTAATGTCGGATGGCCACATGACTCCAGAAGAGGTGGAACGTCATTTGGAATCTCGACAAACGTACCTAGAATTAGTGCCGGAGAAAGCACCGCCGACGGTGCCCACAGAAATGTTTAGTAATGATCCGTCGCTAGACAGGTTAGTTTTATTTATTTTCTTTTTTTTTTTTATTTTTTTTTTATGTTGAAACATTTTACCTATCAAGATATTCTTTTCAGTGAATCGAATGAAGTCGGAGAACTCGAAACGTCGCCGAGCAATATGGGTGAGGATTGTCTCAGCGTCGATATGATGGCTGAGTGAAATATATACAAGAAATAATAGGGAATGTGGAACAAAAAAAAATTCACATAAAAATAGCCAGTCAATTGAACATTCGATAGAAATTGAACTTTGAGTATTTAATTGTATCTGCTCTAGTGTAATATGAATTTTTATATGTACAATATGTAATGCGTAAACACGTTTATGGATAGTGACAGTGGTCGGTCAGTTTTGCTCGCAGTTGGACCTTCGACGATTGACTCAACTTTCACAAGATTCAAGATGTCGCGTGCAGTGACAAAAAAAAGAAATTTTTACGTCGCAGTACAAACGGCATCAGATAATATTTATTTCTTTGTGTTTATCGCGCCTACTCTATTATTAGACTTCTATTATTCATTTGTTTATTTGCGTAGGACATGTTTCTGTCGTGATCTATAATTCTGTTTTATTTAAATATGTCGTAAAATGAAAATGATTGACAAGTGCAATTCTGTCGCTAGTACCCTGGCAAAAGTTTCGGAGAGGATAGAGACAAGCGAAAAACGGGAGGTCGTGGTATCGTCAAAATCTCAAAGTTCCAGAACCTCGAAAATTTCCGAAAGCTCTGAAAGTTCAAAATCAAAGGAAAAGAAACATCAGGAAATAATTGTATATTCTGACATCGAAGAAGTTTACTGTCGAATCTGTTACGACACTGATGCTCGGGTCCAGATAATTTATCCATGTAAATGTAAGGTAATTTCTCAAAGAAACGCTAAAATATTCAATAACATAAAATACATTTTGCTATTACACCAGAAAATAGAGAAACACAATGTAAGACTCTTATGTGAAACATTGCACAAAAGATATGTTATTAACAATCTTATCGTCGATTCGCGTAATGTGCGGCTCATAACAATTCGAATCATACTATGCAAGTTATAAATGAGAACAACGATAAGCACTATCAAAATGTGTAGATCTCGTTAACGACTTACTTTTCAGGGAACAATGGGAGCCATTCACTTGGAGTGTTTGGAACGTTGGCTAGAGGAGAGTAATCGAAACAGTTGCGAATTATGCGGACAGCAATTTCAAGTGGAACGAACTCCTCGGTACCATGCACTAACTTCTATTTTCGTTTGGCTGTGCTTGAATCAGGAAGAACATCAATATTTCATTCGAAGTCTTCGAGCTGATTTGTTACGCTCGCTCGTCGTCACGCCTGTGACAATTTGCTGCTCATACCTTTGCGTCGTAGCTGCCGATTTTTATTCGAAGAATAATTATGATAATTTTCCTCCTGCTCGCTGGACCACTTATTCGCTTCTGATTATGATGACTCTTTTGATATTTTCGTACTTCGTTTGGATGTACATGGCCTTACATTATCATCAACGGGTTTGGTTTTATTGGTGGCAAAAAACCAGTGTCGTTAAAGTCACCTTTGCTGAGGAGGTCAAAGGTGAAATTCTTATTAACGCAGCTTGAACCCCTTTGTCACATGAAAGGCAATCAAAGTTACTTGAATTGTTCTTTTGGATGGCGGAGGGGTTGGGCTTGTTGAAATATTGATATTAAAAAGGTTGCGGTGGGGTGTGTGAATAGTAATTTGCACTTTAATGATGACAAGACCAGGGAAATGTGACGAAAGGAGTGGCAAGAAAACTCATCGTTGGGCTCAACAACCCTGCTCATTTTCTTTTTTAATTGGTCCGTTTGACTCTCATCTCTCCTTACAGGCGCAGTCTCAGCTGGTTTGTGCCGCGCAATCGGCGGTTTTTCTTTGATTTGTCTAATGTATGAGATTCTATACTTCGATATCTTGGGTCTCTGGTGACCTTCAGCTGAATCCTAACATTCCTAGGTTTAGAAACGCAACTCGGACAGACATGCTTTTTACTCCTCCGATTCACATGACTACTTTCCAGAAATTTTTTCTGGTGTTCAAAATCAATTTTTGGAATTGTTAGCCTCCGAAGGTTATTACCGCTGCTAACTTGACTGGTTTCCTAATAAAATGGTTTTGGCACTTGTTGATAGGATAGGAGCACGGAACGTAACTTGTTGAAATTTTAGTCGCGTTGCGCTACTCTTGCCTGTAGTACGTATTACTGCGTATGATATAATAATTCAGAAATGTCGAATTTGTATTATTTGAAATTAATGTATACTTTATATTCATTGTTATTTATTTACTGTACATGTGTGGATATTGATACGATTCTTAGGGAGCTTGCTCCAGGATCGAATAAAGTTCAATATACCATACTATTACAGATATTGATTTCTTGTTTTATTTTTTGGTCATGCTTCAAGCGTTTAGAAAACCCGTTGAAGATTCACTTTCTGTATCGTACAAAGTCATAAAGATAGACGCCATTAAGAAGCTCGTCGTTTAATAGAAATCTTGCCACGGCACAACTGCGACGTATAAATTCGTACTTTGCTCCCGTCCGATACTTTCTTTACCCAGATCTGTAAAGTGATCGTATAATCAATTTTATTTATTGCTCATTAAGTTCAATTATCAAGGAATCAATTAATAGTTCTCTGAAAAATCGCTTTGAAAGATCGAAGACAAAGCAGAAGTTATATAGGTAATTGTACATACAGAAATTTATTGTGGACGGAGTTTGATTTCATTGATCTTGTACAATATCAATAAATATAATTCAATAATTCTTCTAAGATCTAGTTATACTTACAGCTTCTGTTCCAATAGCAGATATATTTGCTGCGAATCTTGGAAGATCTTTGCCTTCTACATAAACTGATTGACCACGATGAAACCTAAACACACACATATATATATACAGGTAAATATAATATTGTGTATTCAAGCTGATTTATTTGGCAAAATTCCTTCTAAAAAATTTTTCAATCTTACCATCTTCTTTCATATAAAAGCTTTCCATCTTCTATTCGGGTTTCAACCAATGGTACATCCAAAGGAGGTGGAATGTGTTGAGTAGGTAAATTAACCGCACTATATGGCGGTACCACCGCTGGAGAAAAATAAGTCGACAATTATTGTATCACTTTTTTGAATGGATATGTGCTGTCAGTGAATAGTCAAGATATCCTATGAATCCTTTTCGAAGTACCTGACTTTCTCATTGTTGTGAGAACTTTGCCACGACTTATAGCTTTCAAGTCACTGTCTATCTCTTTTTCATCTAACAAATAATTCACTTGTGCTGGTGGTGGCTTTCGTCGCTTTTCTACTTTTTCAGGAACAGGATCGTTTGGTCGCCGTCGTAATTTTCTTGTCATTACAGGCTTCACCTAAACATTTTGTCAATAATTAATATATTGAGATACTGACAAGGTTTAAACGTTTATGTAATTGTAAGAACCTCCATTGAATCTCCAGTTAATTCCATAGTGTGTCTGTCAGATTCAATCATTTTTCGTTTCTCTTCCATATCAGTCAAGAGATTCTCTTTTAAATCTATCTTTTTTTCTTCAAATTCCTTTACTGCAGCTTTTTTCTCTAAAATATAGTCTCTTTCTACCCAATCGGTGAGATAATCTCTGTATATTATATTTAACCTGAGCCTAAGAAATAGAAAAATATTTATACTCACTCTACAAAGCATTATATGTATTAAATATTTTACATTACAAACAAACCTTTCTTTGTACTGGACTTCTAATCTCTTAAGTTTACGATTATATTCAGGATGTGTTCCATCCTTTAATTGTTGCAACTGTTTCTTTAAACTGGCAAGCTTATCCTGGTAAACCCTAAAGATACCACAGAAACAAATTAAATAATGGTTGTATTTTTTTCTTTGCAAACGTACTTACTGTTCTTTTATTTCTGTGTATTCCTCGGATTTGCCCATATCTGTCTCACTGGCTTCTTCAGTATCTAAATCATAGTTTTTTATTTTTTAATTATGTTATGATGATTCAAATGTGTGTTCAATTCACATGAAACTACTCTCAGGCTACCTTCATCGCTCTCATCCTGATCATCAACTTCCCGATCCTCTTCCAAATATTCGTCGTTATCATCATCCATCTCATAATCATCCTGACCATAAGGAGCCGAAAATGGTGAGCCCTGATACGACATTCTCAACAATAAAATAATTTCACAATCCCGCGTACATCAGACCTACTTATATTTTATGCATTTCTAATTCTGACACAGAACCTTCCTTCCTCTCCTATAGCAGAGATGAGTATAGAGCACTATAAGGGCTCAAGGGCCGAGATGTGATGGATTAATAAAGAATGTGCAAAACCACGTTTACTAAATCTGAAATATCTATATATATATCTAGACAGCGATGTACCTCGCGCGACGGTCCGATCACCAATCCACTATAAGGAGATGCACAACGCTACGGTTTTAGGCAGAGATGAATAGGGAGATGCACAACGCTACGATTTTCGGCGATACAAAAATCGTGGCGCTAAATCATAGCGGCGAGTCCGGAAGTAGGATTTTGTGATAATCGCCTCTGTCGATAATGCATATCCCGTCGTAGCCGAGCTGAAAGTGATCACGAACGGGTAGCCTGGCGGGCAGAGATTCTCGACAACTTACAACAGATTCCCAGAGCAACCCTTAGAAAGAGGCCGCTTATCAGATATTGCCTAAATATTTTTTTTTTATAATCTTAAATTCAAATGTACAGCTGGATAAGATTTACTAAGACAAAAGCCAGCACCTTACGCCTGCCTGCGTTAAGGAGTGCAGCGATGCGGTGCTAGCTGCCACCATTATTTAACAATAGTTCCAAGTGGAACTGTGGTCTCAACATTGAGTACTAGAGAGAACTAATTCAGAACTGTTTGAAGCACAATATGAAAACAACACTGAAATCAGCTCCTTATGCATGCCTGCACTGAAGCATATGGTGCGACTAGTATCATTAATAGGGATTTTACCAATGTTACGTAGCAGAACTATCGTTAAAACCTATCAGAAACTTTAGAACTCCTCGAGAACTATTCAAAAAGCCTATTGTTGAAACATTTTTTTAGGCTTTTTAAATAGTTCTCAAGGAGTTCTATAGTTCCTGATAGGTTTTAACAATCGTTCTGCTACGCAACATCGGTAAAATATGTATTAAATATGCTGGTGGCATCATACGCTTTAGTGCAGGCAGGCATGAGTTGCTTGCTTTTGTCATATTAAACTTACCGAGCTTACACTGTGCGATCGAATTTAGGATTGCAAAGAAAAAAAGTATTTAAGCTATATCCGATGAGCTGTCTCGTTCTACGTGTTGCTTTGGGAACCAGCAATAAGTAGCGGAGGACTCTGCCCGCTAAGCTTAGCCGACAGTGAGTCTCCGCTACTCACCGCTGGTTTCCAAAGTAACGTTTCGAATGTATGCATTACAGAGTGCCCTAGAAAATCTGGCCCTTGTAAGAATAAGAATTTCAAGCTGGATACGAACTCCATCCCTTTATATATCAGGTAGTCAATTTTTCAACGAGATGCATCCTCTGCCGTTTGCGCACTTTCCAATTTTTCATTTTTTCACTTCAATCATTCGTAACATAGGTTGTTTTAGTAAACAGGAAAGTGTAATAGGACAAAGGAATGAATAATGTACGCAAGAGACTGTGTGAAGTAAGGGCGTCTTGATTTTACTAATGTTTATTAATAAACATGTGTGTTTTCCTCGTATAGATTACTCGATAATTCATTATAATATAATATCTGTCGTCGCAATCATCGATAGAGAGTTTATATCGTTATTTACACTAGTCGGTATAAAATGCGAGTTCGAGATTAAATCACACCACTATGTCTTGCTCGGACACTATCTGTCATCGATTAATAATTATCAATGCTTGTACTCGGGAAAATGCGAAGGGGGCAGTAGGGCAGTATTTTCATTATCACTAGTGTTGTTGTTGCTGCTGCTTGTGGTTGTCGAAGAGGTGATGATGTCGTTGGTTGAGACTGTTGCGGTGGTAGTGGTGATGACGCCGATGGTATTCTTGATGATGTTGTTGATGGTTGTTGCTTCTGTCGTCGTCGAAGTTGTAGCTGTTATTAACCCATCGGAAGAACCATTACTCATTATGGTACAATCTATGTTAATGTTGTTGTCGTCTAACAGTGGGACATGATGATTTTTCTTTTTCGGAACGTTAGGCAAGCGACGATGATTCGTGTCGACGATGATCCTTTCAACAACGAGGCTATCGGGTTCCTGGGATTGAGCAGTAGCGGCCTCCGTTTGCGAGTCCTGGCCGCTTTCGGAATGAGGCGGTGATGGATAGTAGCCTCGCTGCAGCTGCGACAATGGTTCGCACTGTCGTTGCTGGTGCTGCTGCACCTGCTGCGTCGCAGTCACGGGTGGCGGTTGCTGCGGCGGTCTGTGCTGCACGCCCTCTTCATTTTCACTCGTCCACCGGGCTAATTGTTGTTGAGCTTGAATAAATGCATCACTAGAAAACAACAAGAATGATACCAGCCCGTCGGGTCTAGGACACCGGTGCTAATACATGTGTTTATCTATTCTCGCACCTGCCCATCGGCCCGAGAAGGAGATACGTCGACCGTAGAGAACATTTTATATTTCTTGTCCCTTTTAGCAAAATCTCTAGGAACTTCAAAGAGGTATCTCGTGCCATTCAGATTCCTCGTATGCAAGTAGCAAGGAATATTGGATACCAATTTGAGAATTCGATTAAACCCGACGTTCAGCATAAAAGACAAGATCAAGAATGATCAGAGATAAACGCGAGGGTCCTTCAATTATTATATTTCTAATGAGGATACCTTTCGCTATCGGGCGTCTCGCCACGATTAGTTGAGCCTCTGTCAGGATCGGCAGTTTCGTAGATACCTTCTTCCTCGTGCAACTGATGAGCATGTTGATGAGCGTGTTGATGAGTACCGTAGGGACTACGGGCAGTTGGTTGACGATATCGTCCGTAGACGAATCGTGAGTCATCATCCCGACCACGGCTGCATCTTCGACTTCTGCTTAACGAGACGTAATCCACAGATCACAAAATTCCCATCGATTGATCAACCTCCCAAGAAAAACTCACCCTTGGGAAGACTCGCTGCAAACGGAGGAGTCTATTCTATAATGTCGATCACCATCGATCTCAGATATTCGAATGTCCTCCGAGCCGCTGGGACTCATGTGACGCGCGGAATGATGCTCTAGCTGCCTTATGAGGTCTTCCAGGTTCCTGATGCGGATGGGGCCACAGGACGGTGGCACGTCTTCATCGTCCTCGTCGTCCTGATTATCAGTGTTATCCTGGCCATCCTTGGGGTAGACATCCGGATAGCCGCACTCCACCAAGGACTTATGAAGCGCATCTTCGCTGAGAAGATTGCTGCTACCGGATGGAGTCGAGGCCAAGCCCCGGTGCGTTGCTGCATTACGGAGTGCCTCGATGATATTCTCGTGGTACCCGTTCAGACTGTTCAGGGTACGCTCCATTTCCGATATCGTACCTCCGGCTATACCTGCTGACGAGAAGGCATTCTGCATTAGACTAATTATCGACCTATGATATCCTTATAGGGAACCGCGGCTTTAACCACTATTCTGGCATTACAATACCGTAACCACCGTGTTTCTTTAAAATTCCCTTCTCAGGCAACTTTGTCAGACTGTTTGGTGGCAGATCAATGAAAGACACAACCTCCTCGGCTCCCGTACCTCCGTCTTCCTCGTCCACGCCCATCCTCTTCATCTGCGGTTTGTGCTCCCTGCAATTATTAGGTTGTCACTCAATTTTCAAAAGAGAGAAAAAACGAGAGGTACGCTCCTTGTTTTTGGGACAAATTTTTACAAAAATTCTATTTCATCAAAAGATACCTGGGTGTAGGCAAGATCTCTGCGATTATTTGCTCTGTTTCGATTATTTTTTTTTAAAACAAATTCTTCGTAAATAACTGAGTTTAATTGTTCAAAATGTATGCTATATGTGAAATTTATAATTTTTTTCTTGTTTTCCAGATAGTCATTGCTGTTTATTAAATACAGTTTAATTGGGAGAGTATGAGATTGCATGCAGTAATCAGATCCAATAGGTCGTGTATGATACTGCCGAAATCAATGCAAATTTGCATAATTAATTGAATAAAGCATTCACTACATTCTGTTATTAAAGTTGTTGGAATTCAATGGAAATTTTCTGTAGATTGCTGCAGCTGCAGGGATCAATATTTGGCGACTTTACATGCGCGCAAATCCCAATGCTGTTGAACATAAGCAAATGCATAGAAAATCCTTGTAAGACATTCATACGAGCATGCAAAATTTGCCATTTCGCCGATACATCGAAGATAAACAATTGACTCCTCGGCGAATGCAAATAAGGAAGTCATGATGGTCATATCACAGGAGCTACAATCGATACAGTATCTGCTAATCATGATTGATTTAAAGCGTCAAATTGGCATGCACGATTCTAGCACAAAGTGTCCCTGGTCTTGTCGGTGAGCTAGAAAATTGAAAGCAGTTCGACTTTGGTTTGACCACAGCGAGTGTGTTTTTCATGTGCGATATAATTAACGCATTACTCTCTCGTATGTGGCAGAATCTTAGTGACGCTTAAAAAATTTAACAAGTAAATAGGGTATGCTAAAATTCGTTAAAAAAAAAATCATCAAACAAAACATCAAACAAAAGTGAAAGGTGTCTTATCGATTGAATGAAAAATTAAGCCTGATAAAGAAAAGACAATACTACGTGATCACGCGAGAGAAAAAAGACAATTAGAAAATAAAAAGAAACATTCAAAATTCTTTTTCTTCTTATACCCATAATTAACCAAGGGTACGAATATTTTCCTGGTGTTTGATTCAAAAAATTGTCCAGTACAATCGAACTACGCAAGTCAATTCGAACATTGTATTGATGAAAATAATGGCTTCCATAGGACTGTACCCAATAATGCTTTATTTGATTATTGAGAATAGATTATTCGCGAGACAGCGAGACAGCGAGTCAGCCATAAAAGTGTTAACGACTCGACACAGAGACTTACTTGAGTCGTGTCCCGTCTGCGGTGGCGACGTTATTCAGGGGTCGAAACAGCACGCGCTGGGTCTCGCCGCGGCTAGAAATATACTAATGTAGGCATGCCGCGAGTATTTCTTTTCTAATATCGAAATTTTCGAGTTACTTTATAATGTCGCAGGGCTGAAGCATTTCGGCGAGTTAGCGACTCGAAGAAAAGATCCGGACTGTATCGAGTTAAAAAATTCTAAGCGCGATAGAAAACTATATATTGTGCATACTCATTGCGAAAAGAATATAGGCTCTCTTCCGATTTAATTTAGTACACGTAAGTATAATAAGTGCCTATATTTACAAGGATTATTTCCTCGATTTAAGCTACCAATTTTTCAAGCGTACTAATGTGATAAGTAAAATTAAAGCACTATTGCTCCTTACGTTTATTGTGTATACGTGTCTACGATAGGATCCATTTGCTATATGGATTCGTTTCAGATGAATCTGTGTCTCTCAAATTTTCAATGCGTATAATTACCAGCGATTATTTTTCTAGAGATCATGATTCGAATAATTATTTTTGAAAAATCCTTTTTTTAGAAAATGACCATTTTTAATATACAATTCAAATTGTTTTTACGTTCTTTCCTTGTATTTTTTTTTTTTTTTTTGAGGGGTTTTGCAGGAATGATTCTGATTTTCCAAGTTTTTTGTAAATTTAAAAAAAAGATACGGGCTAATGGATCGTACCTGTAAGACGGCATGCTGCCGAATGTCAAGATCTTGTTGACGCTATCGAGAGCGGCGACTTCCGGATGATGATTTCCGGAAGCCCCGCCGTAGCTTTTCTGCGCCGGCTTCTTCGAGTATGGCGCATCGTATTTCTGCACAGTGCTCTTCTTTCTGCGAAAATCCATAAGAGTTAATCGAATGTGTCGGCGTTCAAAAGACAACTGACAATAAAGCGCATGCACTATAGGGCTAACGAGCTGTAATGGAGGCCAATTAATTTCATTTCACTTAATTTTCCTAACACATTTTTCTTGCTCTTTTATTTCTTTCGTCAAAGCTGACCATAGCTGGACCTTCGACCTGATACGGGATTTGCGTACGTGCTTGGGACTTGGTGACACGTTGGATGAAAGATTGCCATAGTGAAATATTTTTTGAAAATTCATTCATTTCTTTTTTTTTTTTTTTTCTATAATCATTACAACATTGGCATCACTTTGAGGGATAATAATGAATCTCATCCAACGATTCTGCACGCTTCGAACTCAAAGTGGAAATAAACGATAGTCATCTCGTGTCAATTACTGGGTCAATTGGCCCTGTAATTAATGCCCGACGTAAATGACTATCGCGGGGAATTGCATGCAAGAGAAATAAAATCATTGAAAATATTGAGATCAGTATGCCAATCCCGTAATCAGTTTATGATCTACAGCCAGTCATTGGTTAGATATTTATATTAAAGATTCATTAATTTCTTAGCTAATTGTTCGGTTTATTTGTTAATGGGGCTATTATCAAAGCTCGCATGCGATAAAACGTAAAGAATAACCACCAGTCGATAGTGTTTACAATCCCTGATGTCGCCAGTTTATTTTAGGCCTTGTTTCTTTTTTCCCCGAGGAGCTCATCACTCGCAGACTCTCGCTGCCGCGACGGTACGTGGGTTGCACGGTAAATCGAAATTCACGGTACGCGTGTTTAAGAAAATAATATAACGAGACTCGTTTTCTTCGATTCAATGAAATTACGTCGGCTTTGCCAAAATCGATTGTCCAATTGAAGTTTACGCACAATTGGCAAATGCGGAGGTGTTCGAAAAATATGACTGATAATCGACGAGACAAAAAATAAAATATCGAGATAAAAAATATTTTTAAAAAATTGAAATACCCATAAGCACCTAAATGAGAGTGAAACACGATTAAAACCCTAAATACATATGACTGTTATTTTTATGTGGCCGTTAATTAAATGATCAGAATTAATTATCGAAATTTTAATAGCAACGTTAACAAGTACTTGTAACAACAGTTATGCAGTAATTGCTCGACCATCGATTCGCATGCTTTCAAAATATTTTTTCGACAAGAACACATACTACGGTTAGAACATGGAAAATTTATTAGTAGACAGGAGTACAATAAAAAACGGCACAATAAACGATTAGTAATAATTGTCATGAAGTATGAAAAATCATAAAATTTATCCTGCAAATTATGTCACATATATATAGAACGCGATCGGAAGATTCTAAAAATAACACAAAAAATATTCTACTCGTTTCAACATTTGAGCGGAAAAAAATTCTTTCGCGATTCCCGCGTCATTAATACTCCCAATGAAAATAAAAACTTCGTCAACTCTGGCACCGCAGGCTATAAAATATATTTAAAAAAAAAGGCGAAAAATATTCTTCTCACGAGAAAAAAAAATTGTCGCGTTAAAAACACGTGTATCTCACGTGGTATTATCACTGGACAGCAACAGCGTATAGGACGGATATAATTGAAAAAAAGAAACCAGCTAGGCAATCCAAGGAAACCGCAACAATGAAGAAAAAGTAAAAAATTTGGAAACGAGGTGGACACATGGTAAGAGAATTCTAAAAACGTAACAAACATAATTCAACGGCTCGAAACGTGAAAGTCTATTGTATGCTGATAAATATATATAGATATGAAGATGAGCCAAAAGTCAAACTATAATACATGGATAATCAGTGTGCAAGATAAAACATATAACGAAAGGGGGGTTCAAGGGTAGAAGATATAAAATGAATTATTAAAGATTCTCCAATAGATAATAAAAAGACATAAAGGATACAAAAAAATTCTATGTGTATGTATCTGCACACTAACCTGAGACAGAGGGAGAAGTTTTTATGTACTACGACTGACCTGTAGCAGAGAGCCATCAGAGCAAATACTACGAAAACACCCCCTACCACCGACATGAGCATACCAACTAAAAAAATAGTGTTTGAGCCGTGGTAGTTCTCTGCGACAGAGAAACCAGTTGTTGTTGTATAGTTTATTATTAAGTTTTTATATTTTTTTTATATACGCATACGTATGTATACATACATATACGTAGTTGTATATAAATAAAAAAAATTTATTTGAATTTTTATTTTTTATTATTTTTTTTGTTTTGGTTTTTTTTTTGGTCGTGTCGTGCGATAGAGAACGGTGTTTCGCCGACCCGGTGATATTTTGCGGTTGCCGAGAGCGTCCCACAGCATGCAGACAGACAGAGATGAACAGCAGTGACAGTCAGAAACAGACAAGAAACAGAGAAGCCGTCAGCACATTTATATTACAGTACACACCATCGAGAGATTTAGCGACTGCTTTACGCTTACTGTTTACGAGTTAGATGAATGATATCTCTTTCTTTATTTGCTTTCATTCTGAGTATGCAATTGCCAATTATTTACTTTACTTTCATCGAACATTAGCTAGTTTCAATTGGATTAACGAGAAAGAGACGTTACGAAATACCAACAATTCGTATAAGACTGTGAACTCGAGTAACGAGTATGTATAATGGCTTTTATTGCCCGGACCTATGGGACTCCTTCAAAGTGGACCACATCTCTGTATACATTTATCTTACGACTCTGGAAACGCTCGCTCTTCGCCCGAAGATCGACGCCAATTTCCGATTTCATAATAAAGCATCCTCGCGATTTATTCTTATACCGACGAGATGGGAATAAAGTTAAACTTTTTTTTTTTTTTTTTTTTTTTTTTTTTTTTTTAATATATTTAACTCGTATATTTTAACTCGTATGATTTTTCTTCTAAGTATTTCTAATGTATTGTCACAACTGATCACAACAATGTCACGACATTTGAAAAAGAGACGTTAGACACTATTGTTATTCTTATTCGCAATGGTACATTTTTCGGCTGTATATTTGATAGTTTTTTCTTTTTTTCACGATTCGCGTCTCAATAGATCTCTTAGGGCTTCTAGGGCATACGAGCAGCTGGCACATTGGCGCAACCATAACACTCGTAACAAATTTCCTAGCAGACTCATCGTACAGGTACTTGGTCCCGATATATCAGGGCATATATCAGGTACATTGCGTGAAATTTTTGTTTAAAAAATAATTATGCCTACCAATCGAGACGAGTACCAGTCAATTTAGTATGAGCGAAATTATGCCACGAGCACACGGAGCATAGTCAAGAACAGGAGCGTAAAGACATAGAGATGCCAAAATATATTGACCCCCGTAAGAACTATAGAAGGGGTAATTACATTTTGGCACAGACATATTTTATATCTAGATATACCGAGTGTCCTTGAAACTAACTTTGAATACTATATACAATAGATGATATATATCTTCTAATATTTGTTGATTCCCAAAGTTCTATTAAAATATCAATTATGGTCATACAAGACATAATTTTTCAAGAGCGATATAAAATGTGCATGCTTTTCGTTTCAAAAACACCCTGCACATATTAATATGTATATGTATAATGTATATATATATGAAAACATCGATCAAGTAGGCTAAGACGACTGAATTCCGAGCATTGATGGCCGCGTGCTATGCCTCCTCATCATCATCATCATCATCATCGTCATCATCATTATTATCATCCAGCTAGGCACGAATTTTACTTTAACAACGACAGTGCGGCGAGCCCAGCCCGCTTCTACGAAATTGCCTACTGTACCTGTAGCAAAGAGCCATTAGAGCAAAAGAAATGAAGACCGCTTTCACGACAATCACCAGGATAAAAACCAGGGTTAAGGTGCTAAGATTTGTGTTTTGATCACGACCTGAAAATCATCAGAGCTTTTCTCGGTTCTCTTTCGCCCCTTCATTAGTCAATCGTTCCGATTGGAGACCAGGAGTATTTAGTACTTACATTAGTGCAATTGATTGAGGCATTAACGTCAACACGCAAATACGATAATATGACTTGCGATTAATATTTTCGTTATATAAGAATGACGTTATTAATGATAATTAATGATAATTCGTTTTAGATCAATATCATTACACCGGATCTCTAATCGCGAGGATCTTACAAACTATTGCTATTATGTGGATGTTGCAAGAATGTGTAATATATTGAGAGAATATAATTATGTGCACAGCTGATGGTATGCGCCTGTTAGCGATGTCCTGAAAATGGACACGATCGATACGCCGGAGTAACCATTTTTTTTTCTTAATTTATTTTTGATTTTTTTTTCTTCGACCTTGCTTTGTTCTAGCAGGTTAATTCGGATACGAAAGGATATAGAGGATATCCCTTGGACGTTTCTTTTGTAAATCTTAGCATATCTATATTATTGTGTCTGCTGGTGAAACTTACCGTAGGGGGTTATTTTCTTCCCTATTTTACTGTCTAGGTCAGATTTACCGGGCAATGCCGTGCTGGATGTTGTCGGTCCCGTTGTTGGGATATCCTGTTGTATAGAACAATCAGGTCCGCTCCAGCCAATATCACAATGGCACTTATTTGCGTTAGTGCACACCTGTCGAAATTTATTTTTTTTAGTTACATAACGATTTCCTATTTACTCGGTTAAAACTTTAATTAATTAGAGACGACAAGTCGATTAATTAAAATTGTACAGATACAATTTTTTAAATGGGTTTTTTCATAATTGTTTATCTGGTTATTATGTAGATACGTGGACTCACCCCATTTCCCGAGCACTCATTGTTGTTGTGATTGCTCGGACACTTTCCTTGGTCTACGTGTGGAAAGAGACTGGTGCATGTCTGATTGACACAGATCTATTAAGAAGAATATATGTATACGCAAAGGAAGACAGTTTCCAAGCACAATATTTTCTTTTGATTTTATTACTTGGAAACTTACCAGATTGTCACCACATGAGGTACCATCGCGTACCAAACCCATTCCTGGCATTTCGGATCCCTCTACCGTTCCACTTGTAGTTCTGTTACAAAAATTAAATCAATAAAACAATCAGTCATGGTTGTGATTTCAGCTATTAACTTTTGTACAATTTTTTTTAGTACTCACTTGCATTCATATTCCTGTCCCTTTGCGGTAATGACGGTTTTCGATATCACTTGATTCACACCACTGATAACCGGTTCCTTGCTTCCCATTTGACATTGAAGTGAGCCGCACTTGACATTTCTACACAAAAAAAATGTAATATTATTTAACACGTCTATATAATTTTCTGTAAGAAATTATATTATAATGTCCTTCACGTACTCCGTTTCGCACTTGATAAAATGTCCCGATGTGTCTGTACCGCAATGGCCATTGATGGCTCCTTTAGAATTGAACTCTTCAAAGCATTGCTTGACAGCAGCAATACCGCCGTAACCCCAGACCTGCTCGCACTGTAAATCCAGTGCTGGACAGACACCATTGAAACAGAATCCTTCGTTGTTCGAGCATGGACTTCCATTTTTCTTGTAAACATCTACCGGACATTGCCCGGTTTCGCCGGAACAGACTTCCGGCAAGTCGCATTCATTTGTAGACTCGCGACAGATAACACCGTGGACGCGTAACTGCAAAGTAACAAAGTAATCAATTTGAGAGTACTCAAAGATTTATTGTGAAAATAATAAAGAATATATATTACCTTGCAATCGTTACAACAGGGTCCCGTAGCACATTCCGCTTCAGAAACCAGTCTGCAAGTTATTGGATCGCAGCAGGGATCTATAACCTGACATTCTTCTATAGTGCCACAATCACATTCTTCGCCATCGTCAATTACCCTGTTTCCGCAAGATCGCCTAACTTCCACCTAATAATAATAAAACCATACAAAAAATTATGCGATTCGCAGAAAATGAAATGACCGATTCTCCTTACCTCATTAGGTTTATTGAATAGGCATAGGCCGTGACCACCCTTTAACGCGTCTGTATAGTCGTTCTTGCTGCACTCGGAAAATTTATACGGTTGGACGTTTTCCAATCCGACGATGGATTTGGCCATAATGCAACCGTGCCAATCACGGCAGCATTCGCCTCCTGAAAAAGATACGTGCTAATAAGCCAATCGGCTAATCGGATCGTCATCTCGTTTTTAAGTTAGCTCGATTATCGATACCAATTCTCTAACGAACTTTCAACTTACTTCCGTCATCGTGATTCATGCCAATATTGTGACCTATCATGTGTGCCATTGTACCAGCCAATAGATGTGGTTCGTAAGTATTTAGATCAACACTAATTCCAACTGAACGACGAGTGCACAAAGTCTCTGGCATAGCCATACCCGACTCGTCTCCCTTAAAATTTTCACCTCTGCAATGTAAACAGTATTTATGAAATTTTCAAATTCCTTCAAGTATCCCCTAAGATGATTTATTTAGTTGCCACACTGACAGACTTACGTGAGCAATTGAATTGTATCCTGAGACATTTGAAACATCTTTCGCTGACTGTAATCATTAAAATTCTGCAAAGCACGACCAATGTCGTCTCTGTCGATGGCCGCCTGATTGCCACCCTGCCACGTTTCGATATAGACCACCGACACTCTGGTGTTGAGCGTGCGAAAATACTAATCAAACAGAGACAATAATTAAATTTATATGATTTACGTATTATTGCGCTACAATCGAGCTGAACTATATATATATATATATATTTACCAGATCAGCGATGTTGGCCACTTGAATCGCATCGTGAATCACTTCCGTTCTGGTGCTACCGTTTCTTTTGTCGAACTGAAACATCACCCGGTTATCGCATTATTGTTGTGCACAACAATCAATTGATTAATTGTGCTAATAAGCGTTATCTCTGTACAAGTACCATGGCCTTGTCGATGACAATGGCAGTTTCAATATATTTCGTGGCTTCGCGTACGTCTCGTTTATAACGAGCGGCAATACTCTCTTCGGAAAAACCCAAAACGTGCTTCTGTCGACGATTTTTTAATCGCCACTCCATTGACTGACTATTGGCACAACCCTTGCTTGCCTTTGTTCGAGCCTCAAATATAACGTGAGGATGTTTCTGCTAAAAAAGAGGCATGCATATAGTTTACATCCTTTGACAATGTTGAAAAAATCTTTAAAGGAATTCGCATTGTTATAGGGAGACTTGCTAGGAGTTCCCCGTTGTGATTGAGATTATTTATTTATTCGAAATATTACGTGATAGGAGTGTGACTGACCGACAGATCTCCGCCGTAAAAAGGATGGATCACAAAGGTCTCGTTGCCTAAATGAATGACTCCGCTGACTCCGTTGCACGTGTGGAAAGCTGCACTTGCACCGGGATAATCCTTTACTGTGCCGTGATAGTAACAGTGCTCGATTTCCTGTAAAATTATCACAATCATTTCATGTAATTAACGATCATCCTTGATCACGCCGATTAAAAGATAAATATCGATCTTAACGCCGTCGTTAATAGCATCACCTGTTTTGAAATTTGTTCGGCGCCACTTGGCAGGAAGCCTTTCTGACTCAAATTTGGAGCTAAAAGTTGCCTGGAATCATTAAGAACACGTGTTACTCAATAACGGCTGATTATCGTAACTAATAATGGACGCCGATACGCTTCTGTATAGTTACTACTTAACGGCTATAATAATAATGCTAATTTATTTTAAGTAATATTGTAAGTGCAAGGCTTACGTATTCAGTTCTAAGTCTAAACGAAATTTATGATTAAAGGCCTTGATGAGGAGGGACGTTCGATGAAAATGTTTCCCTGTCTGCAACGAGACAATAATTTCTTGTTTTATTTATGTTCGTATAAAGGAAAATAATATGCAGCAGAAAAAAAAGACATTCAATTTCTACTTACTCTTGATCTTCCTCGTGCACTCTGATAGCCGTCCCCGTAGCTTTGTGAAAACTGCAAATATAACGAATAAATAAAGAAATCTAATAATGACAATTAATTATATTTATTTGATCAGTCAGTGGTCGTAATCACCTTCGGGAATCCAGCTTCTCTTGTGGAGATCCCCATTTTCTCGTGATGCCGCAACTGCACCGGATAGATAATCTGATAGTAATGGCCTCCAATGTTGGTCACTAGCTCCTGGTTTTGCCGATACTCGCGAAGTAATCTTTCGACCTCGCCTGAAAGTTCTCCACACTCTCACGTTCTTTTCTCGATGGTAAATCAAAATGATAAATAAAAATGAGCAACTATTGGGGAACTCGGCAATAATCTGCGCTGTTAAGTCGATCGAGTGAAATCATCTGACGGAAACGTGCAAACGAATAATTCAAGCAGAAAACCGTAATACGTAATGCGCGAGAAAATAAATATCTTGAATAATAAATGGAATTGAAAGCGCAGATCTACATTTGCCATCATATTAATAAATGGGAAAATATAAAACAATAGATAGCACTGTTAATAAATTACACGGTATTAATAAATTACTGATTAATGCAATACGAAAAAAACGTTTCTGTCAGGCGAACAATTATTGAAAATAATAAAAAATAATCTGTTGAATGATTGATGGGGGAATTAAAGAGAATCCAATATGTGAAAGTCGTCGCAAAGAGATTCGAAAGCGAATAAAAATTTCGTCGACTGACATCAGCGATTAAAGGGTCGTATGGTAAAAATAATAATGTAATAGTCAATCTATGAAATTGGGTGATCAATTCTCTTTTTCTTTTATTTTTCCTCTCTCTTCCTCATTTCGCCCATCGACTGCAACGTGGAGAATAGAATCGTAGCTAAGCGAGCTATTCGTCATCGTCTTATGGACGCTGAAACGAAACTGCGAATCTTAAGATAGAAAAAGAATAAATGTATTTTCCATTCTTTGTATATCATTGAGCTGCCACATTAATCACTCAGTTGGCCCAGTGTCCTAGCGAATAACGCTGGCATGCTTTGCTTTCTGATCGATCTACTCCCAATGATAATGTTGTTCGCCGTGAATAGCCTACAGCAGAGTCTTTCAAACCAGCTCGGTCCTATACCATTCATCCGTGAACTTTTGCCAATTTTCGGACAATTCGTATTTCAACGAATGACGGCTCAATGACGTCCGCGTAGTATCAATATCTCCTCTATTTTTAATATCCAATTGAATACGGATATCGATAAGTAACAAACTGCACAGGCATGATATACGCCTTAGTTCGGAGCATCGAATCAAATATAAATAACGTTCTACTGTGAAAATTGGGTGGAGCTATTTTGTTGATGTCGGCAGATAAAGTGGCGAGTAGGGTAATTCCTGCGTTTACTACCCTCGCGGGAGTGGTCGAGGGTGTAGGAATATTTATGGCTTGTGCGAGTAATTTTATCGACTATAAGGTGCAGTAATTGCTGGATGAGAGAGAAAGAGGAAAGTGTGAAGGGTATAAATGACAGTGGTCAATATCGTGACGTAATCTGACTTACCAGCAGGAGTTTCCTCATTCCACATGGACTCATCTAAAGTATAGTCGACTTCTGAAACAAATAAATAGAATAGGCACGTTGAAGAAGCGAAGAGTTCAGGGGAACTGTGGTAGATGGCGGTGAGGGGGAGAAACTAAAGGCGAACTCGTAATGGCGCGCGCGACACTGACAACAAGGACTTATTTGCATCGCTCAAAACTGCTGTCAATGGGAACCTTTCAGCCGTTTGTTAAAGTCGATACGTGGAAAATCGTCAAAGAGGTCGTATCGGCAGCCTTCCGTTGGGTTATCAAAGTGCGACAGGCTTTCAAGGTGTGTTTCCATTTCCGTGAAATTCATGAAACAGACGAGGTTGACTCTCCATTGGCCCAGTTTTGCGTCAGCGAAAACAGCCAGGCCAGGCTTCGGGCTGGGGGCTGTCCTGGCCCTTGGAAACGCCTTTTTCACACGGGTATTGTATGTACGCCGCTTAAAAAGGCGTCTTGACTTCTTTTATGTCGATAATTATACCAGCTTCTGGCACATAGCTAATTTTCAAAATACTTTGAAACGCTCTTTGGCGTTTTCTATCCGTGTTAAGGTGCATTCTAAATTCATGGGATATTTACGAAAGAGCGAGGATCGTGGCGGCGCATTATATGATACAGCCGTAAGTAGCTCCTCTCGTATGCCAAGTGTTAATCGAATCGAATAGCACATATATATTTAAGCTCACGTGACAGTGCCCACGTGAAGTCACGTGCCCGTGTACAGACACTGTTCGGAAGTGAAGATAATAAAATTTGAATTTCCCGGTAAAAGCGGTACACGATCGTTGAGAATGCAAATGAAGGAGAAAAAGAAAACGTTCAGTCGTACTACGAAGCATTCTATAAGAAGGAAAGATGATAACCTATTTTTGCGGTAGAATCGATAAGTGTCATTTTAAGCTAAATTTATTATCTGTTCCGTCGTAGTACGAGTTCTCCCGTAAAGGGTGTCATAATAAAATTCAAAGCGATTTTAACTTGGGGCCTAGATGCGCCAGTTTAAAAGGGTTCGGCCTGTTCCAGTCACGTCGCAGACGCAAACGCAGACGTAGAGACGGCATTGCATCCCGTACATCTCGCAGGTGCAGGGCGTGGTACCTTGTCAGCAATATCGATTACAAACCCGGGCGGTTGCGCATTCACGTCGACACGTGGACGCAGCCAGACTAAATTTGCGTTGCCCTATATTTTAGATCCGCACTCATCTGCCTCTCAAAGATTGATTGCTTTTCCCAGCGAGCGAGCTCCCAGCCCCCTGAGGCCTCGAGGTCCTATCCCTGTCCTACCACCCTCATGAGTCCAAATATCTCTGGCGACCATACCTACTCTACCCCCCCCCCCCCCC